GAAAACCCAGACCACGGTTGTCCTGCTGTCTCTTATACACATCTAGATGTGTATAAGAGACCGATACTATATAGTATTTATGTATAGGCCTAGCAAATATAACGGTATAAATAACGATTAAAAAAAAACATACATAAGAGGTAAATAAAGTAAATAATTAAATAAAAAGACAATTAAGTTTTATTTTCTATGGTACAACACAGCGATTAATTAAATCGATGATGATAAATTTTACTAAGAGTGTCATATCCGGGCAATCTATAGGTAGTATTTCCCCAAATTTTACCACCTCAGCCCCAACTATGGTGGGCAGTGGTGGCGGCAGGGCCTGCCCGACGGAGGGGCTAAAGGCCCCGACGGGGGGGGGGCTAGTGGAGCGAATCGAGTCTCACTTGGCTGGGGACAGGGGCCGCCTAGGGCCCCCGGTGGGAGTCCAGGGGACGAAGGCCCCTGGAACCCACGGATATTTGATGAATTATGGCGACTTTTTATTACTTATTTGATAGGCATCGAGTTACTATAATATGACTTCATGTAGGCCATGCTTTCTAATGTTGAAATCAGCATTTGGAAACATTTTGAATGAAACAAGAAACAAAGAGTACGCAATGTAACCATCTAATTAGGCTAAGTGAAATTCTATATTTTGGAAATTTTGCATGAAATCTGTCAACCACGCTTCATGATCGAGGTTGCTTCATCTATCACGATGTATTCCAACCATCATGAGGCTATCTAAATGAGCATTTGTCATATCAGAACGCAAATTATTTTTAATTAGTCTCATTGAATTATTATTATTATTATTATTATTATTATTATTATTATTATTATTATTATTATTATTATTATTATTATTATTATTATTATTGTTATTGTTGTGATGAAAAGTTAACACAAACAATATGGTGGCTAAACGAATATTACATGTAAATATTACATGGGGGGGTGGAGGCTATAGCCCCTACAGCCCACCTCTGGCGCCACCACTGGTGGGGGAGGCATGAACATTCATATATTTCAGTTCACCTAACTAACCTAAAATAACGCCTTCTATAATTTCTGCCTTAACCGTACGGGGAAAAATGCGACCGGGTTTAAGCTCAGAAAGTACTTTTTAAAGACGTGCTATTAAGAAATGGATATAATGAAAACGGGTTTGGCAATGTGGGATGGGTAGATTGTAATTCTTTATGAACACTTAGGTGGTAGCTAGAATACTGGAGAACAATCCTAATAGAGGTTATTAGTTTTATTCTAGACGTCAACAGCGTGTAAAATACAAACTCTTACTCGGACTGGATTTGCATGATGGTGTCCCACATTGGACAATTCTGGCAACAATTTTATTCCTCTGTGAGATCAATGGGCTGATGACAGACAGTGAGAGATCAAATATTCATGTCTGGAACTATGTGGATGACCTGACACTTGTATTTATATCAGCCTAGTAACATCCAATATTCTGATGACTCTCTAAATAAACGGTCAGCAGACAAGAAGCTGAAGTTCAACCGTACCAAGTGTCGGGTCATGAGAGTATATTTTGGCCGAAATGAACTCCCAGAGATGAATATTTTCATATTTGATTACATTCTCAGGCCCGTATCCAGGGGGTGGGGGTGCGTTGGGTGCGTACGCACCCCCCCCCCCCAAATCGAAAAACGTCTACTAATTATAACCAAAAAAATGTGACTTTGTTCCCAGAATCATTATACAAATGAATCACATAACAGTACAGTATTAAGATTGTATGAATGTACAAATGAGTTACAATAAGAATATTAGAGCGCTGACTCCACACGCGCAATCTTTCGTACTGCCAGCAACATAACACAACAAACATACACACGCTATATGAACGTTATCGTCTAAGTATATCTTCCCCTAACTACCAGCCGGTATGTCAGTGTATAGCAATGAAGTC